GATGGGGCTGGGGCTGGTTTGGAGGAGGCAGCCTCCACAAGCAAAACCTTTCTTGGAAAGGTCCAACAAAATCATCGTAATAGCTCCTATTTAGCGAACACCGACTGTGGACCAGGCACTGGGCTGAGAGTGTACGTGGGTAGGTTTTGTCTAATCCTTTCAAGAACTCTGTGTGCGAGATTACTGAGAGGGACTCAAGCTGAGAGGAGAGTGAAAAACTGGAGCCAAGTTTTGAATTTAGGTCTATCTGACTCCGCAGCCCAGGCACCTGACTCCAGAGCAGTGGTTTTCAAAGTGCACTCCATGGAACCCTAAGGGTTCATAGAGGCACTTCCCTGCATTGGCTGCCGTGGAATGGAGGGTGGTGGAAGAGGAAGTAACCCAGCAGGCTGGGCTCCAGGCCCTTCTTTCCTTCCCGCAGAATGGCCAAACTTTGATATGATTTACGTACTGAGCTTCCCTGGAAGGTTAATTGGAAGAAAAGATTTCATGACCAAAAAGGTTTGAAATCCACGGCATGCCGCCTTCCAGAACGAACGTGGATTACTGACCAGAGCTTCTTGCATGGATTTCAAGGGAACACAGTTCCCTTTGGTGGACTTGCCAAATATTCTGGCTCAGGCTATGCCCCCTGACCCTCTGTGCTGTGAGGCCACCCTGTCATAGCTTCTGGCTTCCAGGCCGTGGGCTGCCCTCAGGGGGAACGGGACTGCCCCATGGACTGCAGGTCCAACACACTGACAGGCCTGAACTGGGTAAATTCCTGGGACAAGTTCACCGTCAGGCACAGCCTCTAAATCCTTTTAGGAAACGTGTGTATATGGATGACAGCGAGGAAGCCCTCAGATTGACTGGCCTGAGGAGGCCTCTCAGGGCCTTCCTTGTATTAATTAGGACGCAGATTCAGCTACTGTAACAAATGCCGAACTCATGAGGGGCTTTGGCACGAGTTTGTTCTCCCACATGTGATAGTGTGAGTGTAAGGAAGCGGGGGGTGAGGTACTGTCTCCATGGTGCTGGGGAGCCAGCTTCCCTCCGTCTTGCTGCTCTCGCCTCTGCAACATGTGCCTTCTCTGTTGTGGTCCAAGATGGCTGCCCATTCCTACTGAGGACGACTGTTGTGTTGGTCTTCCATTGGCCAGGCATAGTCACGTAGCCCCACTGAGCTGTAAGGATGGCTGGGACACGTAGTCTTAGCTGGGTGGTCACGTGCCTAATGGAAACTAAAGGAAGAAGGAGAGAATGGTAATGGGGAAGCACATATCCATCTCTGTCATGGGTGGACTTCCTCTATCAAAACTGCTGGTGCTGGTGTCCACGTGAGCAGGGGTCTGCAGTAACAAATGGGAAGTGCCCCCTAGGTTGGTGACTTTCCACATGACTCGTCCCCTCCATAGTCAGTCAAGAAATCGGCAGTGGGGCGCCTGGGTGGCCCAGTCCATTAAACGTCTGTCTTTGGCTCAGGTCATGATCCCAGGGTGCTGGAATCAAGTCCCACATTGGGCTTCCTGATCAACGGGGAGTCTGCTTCTCCCAATTCCCCTCCCCCCACTTGTGTGCTCACCCTCTCTCTCTCTCTCTCCTAAATAAATAAGATCTTAAAAGAAGAAGAAGCCAGCAGTGCTTGACTTTATAGAAGAAAAACATGGCAGCCTGGGGGTTGTCAGGGAAGATTCTCCCAGAAATTGGGTTTCTCACTTCTGTCTTCCCAATCAGAGTCTCACTGTCTGTGCTGGTGAAGGACTGTCTGGGGTGTCCCTGGAAGACCCTCTGATCATCCCAGGAGCAAGCCTCTTCTGGTTAGTGCCCTTCTGGTTCCAAGGAGCTATTTGAGCTGTGTCAGGAGGAAGGTTTACAGTGAGGAGGTAGAGACCTACCGTGGGCTCCAAGGGCCAGAGATGACAGGCAGGCTGACCTCAGAGTCCAGGAGAGCAGTCAGAAACCAAGGCTGTTTTCTTTCTCTCCAGGCCCACGTCAACACTAGTCTCTTTTTCACTCACTCAACATATATTTATTGAAGCCAAGTGCATGTAAGGTCTTCCTTCTCCTCTCTGTGGACAAGGAGTCACACTTAGGACAGCGTCCCGATGACACAGAGGCACCCACGTCCACCTGCTGCCAGGCGGAGCCAGGGTCTCTCTTCCTTGCTTGGAAAGTGTCTCCCTCTCTAGCTTCAGTTCCTCAGGGAAGAGCTTGAGGAGTCAGGGGACTTCCGCCTGCGAGCAGGACATGCCGGCTTTGGAAGGCTTTCCACAGACTTGGATTCTCAGAGGAGGCAGCTGGGTCCTTCACAAGGGGCTTGTGTTTCACCTGCTTTCAGTGCTGAGGGAAGATGTAGTCCTTGTCACCACCCCACATGTTCTCAGCACAACCTCGGGCCCCAGCAGCTGCAGGATCCTTGTGACTCAACTAATTCAGCAGCAGATCCTAACACCTGCCATATGCCAGGTGCCAAGCCCTGCACTAGGGAGGTGCTGGGGTGACAAGATGAACGTGACACATTCCCCTCAGCTCTGTGCCCCATAAAGGACATGCGCTGGTCCTTCTGATGTGGGAGACTTTATTTACTTTTTAAAGACTTTATTTATTTATTTTATTTTATTATTTTTTAAAATTTTTTTGTTTTTTATTTATTTTTAAAAGATTTTATTTATTTATTTGACAGACAGAGATCACAAGTAGGTAGAGAGGCAGGCAGAGAGGGAGGGGAAAACCGGCTTTCCGCTGAGCAGAGAGCCCGATGCAGGGCTCGATCCCAGGACCCCGAGATCATGACCTGAGCCAAAGGCAGAGGCCCAACCCACTGAGCTACCCAGCTGCCCCTTATTTATTTATTTTAGAGAGAGAGAGGCAGACGCTGAGGGAGAAGCAGACTCCCTGCCGACAGGGAGCCTGATGCGGGGCTCCATCCTAGGACCCCGGGATCATGACCTGAGCTTAACTGTTAAGGCAGATGCTTAACTGACTGAGCCACCCAGGCACCCCTGACGTGAGAGAGTTTAACCAATGACCTTCCAGTGGGGACAGTTACTTAAACATCCGAGAAACAACGGACAGAGGAAAAGCCTTTGCCTTTGAGCGAGACTGACCTGGTTTCAGATGGGGCCCAGGAGACGCGTCCCCGTCACCCCACCCTTTGCCATCTTAGCTGAGGCAGCAGACACACAAGTTAGCATCTGTTTGGGGTTTCCGACCCACGGCAGAGTATGGTTTCTGCCTGGGGGGGCCCTCATTTCTGACGCTTGGAGGTTTGGCCAAAGCTCTCACCGCGTGAGTCCCCGGAAGCAGGTGATAGAAACCAGACGCTTCTCCAAGCCTCCAAGCAGCCGTTTTTCAACACGGGTCTGCTCCAGTTCCTACGTGGGAGCTGCATTTGGTTGACTCCCACCCTACTTGCCCAGGTCGGTTCTCTGTCGGCTGTTGTCCTGCTTTGCTTGGTAACACGATCCCATTCCGGTCACCAGCATGCGCGGTGGTAGCTGTGACACAGGGGAGGGGCAGACCCCCCTGATGGCTGTGCCCTGCGACACATTCATTGGCAAATCCTCCAGTTGAGCACATCCCCTTTGCCTCACCCCCATCGATAAAGGCAGCCCTCGCCTGTGGGAATGTCTGGTCTTAGAGGAGAGGACCGTGGGAGCCCCAGAAGGCTTGTGAGCAGAGTGATGGGGCCTTGCACGTGCCTTAGATTTGTCTGACAGCCACGCAGAGGGCCCGTGGAGGGCTGGGGGGATCAGGAGGCTGGAGGGGAGGCCCCCCTCCCCTGCCACACCATGCTTCTCCTGCTCATCTTCCCCCCAACCCTGCCCTGACCCCAGGTCCCCAGAGCGTGTCACTTGTCAGAAGAGCAAAGCCTGCCTCTTGGCGGCTGGAGAGGACAGGCATCCCTTGTCCCTGCTCATGCTGGGCCCAGGGCAAGGGCCGGCTGGGCAGCTGACAGGTTGGCAGGGAGAACATGGTCTGTCTGCTCTGCTCTGTCTGCAGCCGCAGCCGCTGGACAGCCTGATTAATGACCCGCCGCATCCAGGGCTCCTCACGGGTCAGAAGCCCCATCTCCTCAGCCGCAGCCAAGTGCACCGGCCGGCTCTGCCTCCTTCTCCCTGTGGCTGGCACTCCCAGATGGGTTGAAATGCTACAACATCGCCTCCTACCCGGGCTCTGCCACCCTTTCTGATAACTGTTTCCTGCCCTCTTTTAAATCCTGGCCCTAAATGCTTCTGTGCAGGAGAGGCTTTACAGAACTAATTCCCAGCTGGCTGTATTGTGGCTTGTTCTTTATCTGCTTTGGGCTCATGGTAGAGGTTAGAAATTTCTCGGAGGAACCACAGCTGCTTCTCTCGGCTTTCTCAGCCCTCTGGTGACTGTCATGTGGGCCCCGATTTCTCCCTCTGCTCAAGGGTTTGTGTCTGTGTGTCCTACTTACCTAAGGCCTACCTCCTGCATCAGACTAGCAGCTCCCCAAGATCAAGAGTCTGCCTCCATCTTTACTTTTTATTTATCTATTGATTTTTTTTCTGAGGGGTGGGGTGCAGAAGGAGAAGGAGAGATGCTCCATGCCCAGAAGAGCCCAACGCAGGCCTCAATCTTGAGATCCCTGAGATTATGGTCTGAGCTGAAACCAAGAGTTGGACTCTTAACGGACTGAGTCACCGAGGCACCTCTCTGCTTCCATCTTCAGGCTGGGGGCTTCTAAGATCCACTTTTCTTTTCTCCCTGAAGCAGGGTAACCCCGAGCAGAAACTGCGTGTCCCCTTCAGTCTGGGAGCTCCCTGAAAACCATAACTCTGCTTGGGGCTGCCCTGGCTATTTCTTGCTGATGCCCAAAGCTGAGCTCTGCCCTGGGTGTGCTCCATGGCCCAGGACGTCCAGGCTGAAACCAGCACTCGAGGCCACAGGGCACGCACGAGGGAGGGCGGTGACTTCCCGGGGAGGGCAGAGGATGGCTCCTGGCCAGCCCAACTCCTCATACCTCCTGTGGTCTCTGTCTCGGGTGGTGGCAGGAGGACAACCACAACTACTACGTGTCCCGTCTGTATGGCCCCAACGAGCCCCGCAGCCGGGAGCTGTGGGTGGATGTGGCCAAGGCCAACCAGAGCCAAGTGAAGGTCCATAGAATCCTCTCCAACACCCACCGGCAGGCTTCGGTAAGTAGGCCAGTCCCTGGCAGGGCTGCCTTGGGCTGGGAGGCTGGGGGCCAAGGCATTGTGCCTGGTCAGTGGGCAGGGTTGTGGCCTGTGGTCCATGATCTGGGAGGTGCTTTCCAGGGAACCCTGGAGCCGGGGTGCTGCCTAGAGTGAAGGGGCCGACCCATGGTCCTGGCGGCCTGTCCTGGACATGCCTGCTCCCTGCCCAGTCCAGACAAGCATGGGCAGTGTGGGTGCCCAGCCTCCTGGCCTACAGCTTGGCCCACGCTGATTCTCTTCCATGCTCTGCAGAGAGTGGTCTTGTCCTTTGATTTTCCTTTCTACGGGCATCCTCTGCGGCAGATCACCATAGCAACTGGAGGTAAGGCTGTGTCGGTGGGACTGGGGGAGGTTTGGAGATCTCAGCCAGAACCCAAGGGACCTACCTGGAAAGGTTCAGTGGAGATGGGGGTGTATGGATAGGCAGTGGAGGGTCCCGCGTTGGGCTCTCTCTTGGGATCCCAGTCTCAAGAGGGAGATGAGCGTGTGTGATTGGACCACGTCCCCCGACGTTGGCTGACTTGCGTGTGTGTGTGCATGTGTGTGCGTGTGTTTCTGTGTGTGTGTGTCTCGGCCAGCTCAAGCCAGCCTGGACAATCCCTGTGGTCCCTGTGCTTCAGTCTGTGAATGAGAGAGAGGAGGAGACTTCCCTGAGAGCCTGGCTCTTGGGATCAGGTTCCTTGCTGACAAGAAGAGCCTCTCTTAGATTCCTGTGCACTTTCCCAGGGACAGGGAGGGGCGGGAGTCCGTGTCTACCTGGAGGGGCAGGGAGAGCCTTCTCTGCTCTGGAGCCCTTTTGCTCTGTACACACCAGACCCAGAGCCCAGCAGGCGGGGGTGGGGAACAGAGGTCCAAGATTCGCTTCTAAAAAAAAAAAAAAAAAAAAGATTCTCTTCCAGCTCCCTCTGCACTGTCCCTTCCGCACAAGGAAGGCACCCCTCTAGGCCTTCTCTGGTGATTCCTCTGCCTTAACCCACCCCCCAGGCTTCATCTTCATGGGGGACACGATCCATCGGATGCTCACAGCGACTCAGTACGTGGCGCCTCTGATGGCCAACTTCAACCCCGGCTACTCTGAGAATTCGACAGTCGCTTACTTTGACAATGGTGAGACCGGATCTCACAGTTTACAAACACCCCCTGGCTCAGGGGCTCACTTAGTCAGCCCCTTTAGAGCAGTCCCAAGTCTAGAGAGGACAAGGGATTTGCCCACGGTCACAAAGCAAGGCAGCTACCCACCTTCCTGTGTTCACTGTCTTCATCTCTAAGATGGGGACAGGATGCCTGCCACCTAGCAGGATCTGATGAGATAGGAACAGAAAAGTGCTTGGCTCTTAGCAGAGGTGACAAGCATTAAAGGCCATGATTGTCTCTTACTCTCCCTGGATTGTCCCTTGAGCACCCAACCCCCCACCACACCTGTGTTGGTCCCCAAAGCTGCTGCGGGGCCTGCCTCCCTGGCCAGCCGGCTCTCTCCTCTCCTCCTCAGGGACAGTCTTTATTGTTCAGTGGGACCACGTCTACCTCCAAGGCCGGGAGGACAGGGGCAGCTTCACTTTCCAGGCAGCTCTGCACCACGATGGCCGCATTGTATTTGGCTACAAAGAGGTGAGCGAGCTTAGCTGCGGAGACGGCTGGGTCTTGGAGTCTTTCATTCAGCAACTATCTGTAGAGAACCTGCAAATGTGCCAGGCGTAGGCCTTGGTGCTGGGGAGACAGCGGTTGATGAGATGGCTGGAGGCCCTGCCCTTGTAGAGCTGTAGGTCTGGTTGGGGAGATAGATGGTAATTGCAGGGACAAGTGTAGAATCACCACTGTGACAAGTATTCCTAAGTTAGAGGTGCGCAGTGTCAGGAGTGCCTTTCATGAGGCTTTTTTTCCCCCCTTTTCTTTTTTTTCATGAGGCTTTTTACCTCAGCAGAGGTCAGGGGAGGCTTCCCTGAGGAACAGAGTTGAAATCTGCAGGAAGCAAAGGAATTCCTTAACAGGAAGCCAAGAGGAGCGGGAAAAGCACATTCAAAGGTCCTGTGGCAGAACAGGGCATGGCTGGTACAAAGCCTTGGAAGAAAGCAAGGCTGGAGGGGAGAAAGTAGGGGACAAGCAAGGGCAGGGGAACACCCAGCTTTGCCTTTAAGAAAGGTCACTCTGGCTTCAGAGTGGAGAACAGATTGTTGGTGGCTCAGAGGGAAGGCTGCAGGATGGTTTCAGAGAGAGAGGTCAGCTTGGAGTAGGTGGCATGAGATGGAGAGAACTAGACAGATCAAAGACCCAGAGGGCAGGTGAATTAATAGGATTTGGAGATGTGTTCGGTGGAGGATGGATGAGATGGACGAAAGGGGGTGACTCCCAGGTTTCTGGCCTGCATGGAGGTGCCATCCACTAAGACAGAGCAAAGAAAAAAAGTAAATGTGCTGGAGAAGTTGTGGGAGAGACTTGCAATTTGGATGGGGACCCAATGGTTTTGGGATGTCTTTGAGTCCTCTGAGAGGTGCTGCTGAGCAGGCAGATACATCTGGAGCTCGGAGGGGAGCTCTAGGCTGGCCCAGGGGTGTTTGGGGGGCAGGGGTAGATAGTGCCTCTTTTCTCCTGCCACAGATCCCTATGCCTGTCCTGGAAATCAGCTCCTCCCAGCACCCCGTCAAAGCAGGCCTGTCAGATGCCTTCATGATTCTCAACCCTTCCCCGGATGTCCCAGGTGAGTCCCTAGGGATCCAGCGGAACTCTTGGACGGGTTGGTGGGGGGGGGGGTTGGACTGAGCTCCAGCTGACCCAGGCTGTAGGCAGGTGTGGATGGGCAGTGGAGGGGGTGGATGGGGGACAGAGAGCCAAACAGGAAGGAGGGAAGATGGAGTATAATGAGTTCCAACTTTTCTTCATGAAAACAGAGGAACCATTTTTTTCCCCCAGTGAAATCTCTAGTGGGAGGCGCTGCTCTAGTTTTGGAGGGGAAGGAGAGCCACTTAATACCCCGTCCATATAGAAAATCTCCACAGACACCAAATTAGGATTTTTGAGTCCTCACAGAACACAACCATAATGACATCCCCATCCCAGGTGATAGGAGCATCACAGGGGGCTTCAGGGGAAGAAAGCTGGTCTCGGCCACGTTGTTAACTGTCCTTTGGCAAATCAGATCTCCCTAGCCTCTGTTGCTTCTTCTGTAATATGGGGGTGTGTGTAGCTGGAACGGTGCTTTTTCCTTCCTGGTCCTCTTCCAGTTCTGATATTTTGGGGGAATCACGGTTCTTTCTCTCCGGCTTCTAACCCCTGCTCACCCTCATGAGGGTCTTGGATTCCCATTTCTGGGGAAGGCACGGCAGGCATGCCGGCTGCTTTTTCTAGACCCCTGGCTCCAATGCTTTTGAACCTGACCTCTTCTGTTATGCTGTGTATAAAAAAGTCCTTCTGTCTAGGGGCACCTGGGGGGGCTCAGTTGGTTAAGCCTCTGCCTTCAGCTCAGGTCATGATCCCAGGGCCCTGAGATCGAGCCCCGTGTTGGGTTCCCTGCTCAGTGGGGCATCTGCTTCCTCCTCTCCCTCTGCCCCTCTCTCATCCCATGCTCTCTCTTGTTCTCAAATAAATTAATACAATCTTAAACAACAACAACAATAACAAAGTCTTTCTTTCTAACCTGCGGGGCCCCGAGCAGGAGCAGACCGGTGTCTGTTCTTCTCTATCCCTACCCGTACCTGATAGGACTGGGGGATATTCTGAGCTCCACCCTAGCCACACCAGGTTGGATGAGAGGACGTGGGCAGGAGGCACCAAAGGGCTTCCCTGTAGAGAGGCAAGGCACCACCATTCAGGGAACTCCAGGGATTCTGGGGGAAGTATCCTTCCTACATCTGTTGGTTGAATTCAATCAATACACATGTTCTGACATGACAACACACTATGTCCTGGGTGCTATGGAGATCACAATGAAGAGGAAGTCATGGAGGGACTCATCACCTGAGCAGAGCCTCTGTCCCTAATGGAAATCTGAGGGAAGGGACCAGGGCTCCTGTCATAAGCCTTCATCCAGCACCTTCCACGTGCAAGTTTCAGTCCAGTGTGAGGGGCTTGGCTCTGGAGTGGGAAGCATGGAGTCCAAACTCCCCACAAGCATCTGACCTCCAGCAAGTCACTTATCCTCTTAAAGTTTATTTCTTTATCTGTAGTTGAGGATACAAGTAGTTTGTTCCTCCTAGTGACTGTGAAGGTGAACGCTATGATGCACATGAAGCTTTCACTCTGATGTCTGGTGCACTGAGTCTGTGAGTCCTGCATTAGGATATCTTCCTGTGCTGGCCCTTAGCACACGATGCGGTGTTTGATAACCCAGCAGGACATCTGGTACGGGAGCAAACAGTGCAGAAATAGGAGCATGTGATGTCCTGACACCGGTGTGTCATTGGTCAGATGCCACGCCCACAGTCGTTCACGTGACTTTTGCAGCTAGTGGGGAAACAATCCCGTGCTACAGTGGCAGTTTCTCAAACTTCACCCATGTGCACATCACCTTTGAGGTTTTTGTCATGGACATGAATGACTGTTCTGTTATTATGAAGGCTCTTTTTTTTTTTTTTTAAGATTTTATTTGCTTATTTGTAAGTGGCGGGGGAGGAAGTGTAACCAGGGGGAGCAGGAGGCAGAGGGAGAAGCAGGCTTCTGCTGAACAAGGAGCCCAAAGTGGGGTTTAATCCCAGGACCCTGGTATCATGACCTGAGCCAAAGGCAGATGCTTAACCCACTGAGCCACCCAGACGTCCCTAAGAATGCTCTTCTTTATCCCAATCTATAAAGTGATATTTTTGCATGAATAAATGTACCCGGTCTAAAACTCAAAAGATAAAAAAGTTTGTATAAAAACAGTTAGGTTTTGGGGCACCTGGGTGGCTCGGTGCGTTAAAGCCTCTGCCTTTGGCTCGGGTCATGGTCCCAGGGTCCTGGGATCCAGCCCCACATCGGGCTCTCTGCTCAGCGGGAATCCCGCTCCCTCCTCTCTCTCTCTGCCTGCCTCTCCACCTACTTGAGATCTCTGTCTGTCAAATAAATAAATAAAATCTTTAAAAAAAACACACACACAGTTAGGTTTTGGGAGAAATGGGTGGGGGGGGAGAAAAAAATTAGGTTTCTCTCCCATACCTGATCCCTGTCCCTAGTTTTCCTTTCTGGAGGCAACCCCACTACCGGGTTATTTCTAGAGCTGTAAGCCTATAGGTAAGCAAGCATATGTTTGGTTATTTAACACAAATGATGGCATATGATGCCACTGTTCTACCCTTGAACAAAGTATATCCTGCCCATCATACCATACCAGCTCCCACTCCATTCTTGTTACTGGCTACTTGATAGCCTGTCACACAGATGTTGCCTTAATTTAACCAACCCCTCCCTCGACGTAGGCTGTACAGCTGTTTCCCACTTTTGCTACAACAAATAAGGCTGCCGTGAATATTCTTGCAAGTAGCTATTTTTACTCCCCGTTGTGAGTATTTCCGCAAGATAAATTCCCACGATCCTGATCTTGCCCCCGCGGCTGTCAAGGTGCTTGCCAGGCTATAGTCATCTCCGACGCTGACTGGGGTGGAGCTTGCAAGAGCTCTCCCGTGGGTGTGGGCAGGGTTCATTTCCTTGAGGAGGGCCCCCTCTGTCCCTGCCCTGTGGACCTCCCCGTAGGACAGCTCGTCACATGGCAGCTGGCTTCCACCAGAGCAGGTGAGCAAGACAGCCAGAGAGGGTGGGCAGGACCAAAGGGCAGTCTTTTTGTAACCTAATCCTGGAAGTGCCATCTCATCACTTTTGCCATATTCTACTGGTTAGAAGCAAGTCACTAGGTCCAGCCCACGCTCAGAACAGGATTCCAAGGGCGACAGTACCAGGAGGCAGGCCAGTCGGGGCCACATTGGAGGCTGCCTGATTACCACGCTGATTATAATCCCATCCCCAGGCTCTCAGTTTTATCGTATTTGGTCAACCTCCCAGCACTGCAAGTGAAGTCTGTATTTTGTAAATGAAGACACAGAGGCTCCTGAGGTGGCTTGCTTGTGATCACACAGTCCCGAGAGAGAACTGAAACCCAGATCTTCCTTTTTTTTTTTTTTTTTTTTTTAAACCGTGGGGTCGACGTTTGAGACTTCCTAAATCTAACCCAGCCCCATTCCAGCCAGAGGGGTGAATCTTTTTCTCCTCAGCTCCCCAAACACCCGCAGCCTGATGTGCCGCAGATCCCAGGCTGTTTTGCCGAATGGGAGGTTCTTAGCGTCCGGTCCTCGCGCCCGTGTGCCTTATGGAACCCCGTCTGTTTCATCAGTGCCTCTCTCACAGGGCTTTGTGGGCTGGCAGCGTCTCAGGAAATGTGTGTTGGATCCAGCTGTTGTATGAGGGTGAATTAAAGGAAGTCAGATCCCCCAGGGAGTGTCTGCATCTGAGGTTTCTCTGTGATTCTGGAATGAAAGGCTGTCTTAGAGCAAGCCAGGGAGATGTGGGGCAGCGGGAAGAGGGGCAGGGGAGGAAGTACAACCCACCTGCAAAAACAGGAGGGCAGTTGCGCCTGCTCCGGGAGGCGGGGCCTCTCTGGCGTGGGAGCTGCGGGATTCAGGACTCCACGTGCTGTTAGCTGAGCTGTCCCTTCTGCCTGTCCGCCTGCAGGCACCCGGCCCCCAGACACAGCCCCGCAGCCCCCAGCCTCTCATCTCCTTCCCTCCTCCCCCCATTCCTTCTTGTCACCGCTGGATCTGATCATGTCATTCTCTGGCATCTTGTTGCGGCAGCATGAAGTCTAAATCCTTAGCGCGGCATTCAAGGTCCCATGCAGCTGGCACGGCCTACCCATCAGCCACCACCCTCTGTCGGGGCATCACTGGTCTGCGTGCCCTGTTCCCCAAACGTGCCAAGGGCTGTCCACATCGCTATGACACAGTTCTTTTTTTTTTTTTTTTTAAAGGTTTTATTTATTCATTTGAGAGAGAGAGAGAGAGCACAAGCAGGGGAGAAGCAGACCCCTGGCTGAGCTGGGAGCCCGATATGAGGCCCCATCCCAGGACCTGGAGATCATGACCTGAGCCGAAGGCAGATGCCCAATCATCAGAGCCACCCAGGCGTCCCTCTAGGACAGAGTTCTCGTTTAAAATGGCGCCCATTTCAACCCTTTTGCCGCTTGGCAAAATTCTCCTCATCCATTGGTCCAGCTCTGATGTTGTCTCCTCCCTGCAGCAGAACTCCTGGTTTCCTCAGACCCCCTTCTCCCCAGCGGGCCATGAGCTCCTTGGGGGGCTCACCTAGGCCCCGGCGCTTAGCTTAGTGCCCGCGACAGGGCAGGCGCTCAACAAATGTGCAATAGCGCAGGGGCGGGAGCCGCTGGAGGGAATGGGTGCCGCAGAGACCTGGTCCTCTGCATTCTGGTGACCCCAAGTGAGAACAGGGGCCTGATGTGGTGGGGGGCGTACAAATTAACTGCATCTCTCTTTGTTGGAGGTTTTTAGCCTGGCTCTGGGCAGAGACTTCAGGAGGAATATCGAGGTGTGTGTGTGGGCCATATTCAGATGCCAGCCTTTTTCTGGGACAGCACCCATGGCCTTCATTGGGTTGTTGTTGTTGTTTTTAAAGATTTTATTTATTTGACAGAGAGAGACTCAGCAAGAGAGGGAACACAAGCAGGGGCCTTGGGAGAGGGAGAAGCAGGCTTCCCACTGAGCAGGGAGCCCTATTCAG